ATGTATATATATAAGTGTACATATACTTGTATGTATATAGATATTTACTTTTGAGGCGCCAAAAATATTTATTTCCGGCACAAATTCGAAAGCCACTTTTGAAAATGTGAAAAAAAAATTATCAGCGCAAAATGTAATCAACAAATTTGGAGAATGGCTTCTTGTACGGCCTGTGTGACCACTTCTGCTTAACTAAAAAGATACAAGCGTAAAAATTTTTAATAAAATCACTACACTTTACTACCATTTATCTATATTCCATGAAAAAGTAATAATAATAAAACGGTTTACCCTTCTTCGTTGAGTAAAGATGCAGCAATCAAAATCGCGCACATTTATTCAAATGAGGATATTCACCTTACAGAAGACCTTGAAGAAGATTTTCGTTAATTTGCTTCTGATATTTTGATGTTTCATATGCCTTAACGGCAATTAATTGGAAGCACGAATTTGGAAGTGAAACGGCCGCGCATGCGTTGGAGCTGAGCTAGAATTTCAAGCACTAATTTCTGTAGATATTGAAAAAACTTGAAGAGTTGCAAACCAAATGACAGCATAATTATCTAAAATGCAAATTACATTTTAATAATATGTATATTTATGAGCGTGTGAATATGGCCGCCAGTTAATGGAATATGCAGCTACGCTTAGCTAAATTCGAAGACTTTCGCACGTTTGGTGCTCAAGCGCGTAGCACAAAAATACTTTTTAAAGTGCATTGACTGTGAACTTTGGCCGAAAAAGATCTTTAATAGAGGTTTAATAATTTAATAATTTTTCCTTTTTAAGTAGGTCTTTAAGCGCCTTGGAAACTGTGTGCAATAGCATCCTCTTCACACAAATTGACTCCGCTTTGAGGTAACATGTTTATTCAAGCCTTTTCCCTCTTTGCTTTTTGTGTTTACACTAACAAGTACCGGTTCAAAAATCTTCAAAGTTAAATCGGTCGGATCGGTTTATTCGAAAAACATGACTTGGTCTCAGGGTTCGCCGAACTTTATTTAGCAGAAATACGAGTATATCGTGTCATTAATAAATTTCGAGGCTCCAATGGGATCCTTCAGCATTTAACAGTTATATTTTGATGTCAAAAGACCCTTCTGAATAACGAAAGATCTGCATGAAAGCGTCTGCGACTTCTACAGCCCAAAATTTTTGTATGTATTTTTTGCTTGGCATGAAAGTATATCTAATTATGTATTAAGCAAAAAGAATGATATGTAAGCATTAACTTTTTGCATATAAGATGAGACTGTCACATGATCCGCTGCTCTACGTTGACATCAAAATACAGTTGCTGCATATTAAATACAAAATCGTGTTTTAATCTGAAGTAGATTGCTGTCAACTTGAGTGTATTCATTAACGTTCACCAGTTTGTAACCTTGACCATGATATATACAAAAGTAAAGGTTAAATATTGTACAAAAAAAAGCAATCAAATTTTGATTTGCTGTTATTTTTACAGATATTTGGAAAGAAATTGTAATGTCTTTATGATAATGCCATTAACTCGTCTGCCTAAAGAAAAGATGTAAAATAGAATTCGATTAGTTAAAACTAGTTATTTTTTATAATAAATAACGTCTTTCTAATCGGCTGGATTGGAATAAAAATTGTATACAGCAAGTTTGTGTATCTCAACGTCCTAAATATAGATTAGAGATTATTCTTGAAAAAAGAATATTTATAAAATATTGTGTTCCTATAATTTTCTAACAAAGCTAATACATAGATGGAATCAGCATCGACTCAGCTCAGCTCAGCTCATTTGTGCGATGATGAACTCGTATATTTTCTAGAATAGGATCGCGAACTACTTTTAAGTGTCTGCTTCGATTACGCGAGCAACAGTTAAAAGGTTTCTGAAAAATGTGAAAGTATCAAGAAGTGCTCTCGAAAAAAAAATCTGAAATCGTAAGGATTATTAAATAGCATCTCAGGACTGTAGAACAGAGAATAGATCAGCTCAGCTCATTATGCTGATCATTTATTTATACATTTTATAGGGTCACCCACAGTTTCTTCTGGATCTTACAAACTTTGTGGCAAACCTAATATACACTGTTCAGGGTATAAATATTTACACTCTTAATTATTATGATGGAGGAATGGTCGCCTTACAAAAAGCTTTTAGACTCGATAAAATTATAAGAACCTAATCAGGCGCTTAAACAACAATTAGAGAGAGATGAAGTTATTAATTTTCATGGTCTCATTATAGTATTACAATTCCTGGTCTTCGGTTTAACAAAGTTCTTTATTTTAGTCAAGTCTTAAGAAGATATGATTTTCATATGCAATCAAAATATTTAATATACATATTTACATAAAAAAGCTGAAACCTAAAATTATGTGTCACTTTAAGCACAAAATGTATTTAATTTTACATCAAACACATGTCACAGCCAAGGATTTGTATTACCACGATAACTCCATGGCGTATAAGTAATCTGCAAATGGAATATCGATTCTTTGACGCCACGGCGAATGAGTAACATAAATTCGAGAAGACTCATAAAATATGGGCATTAATATGTACAAATGTAATAATATACAGTCATGTTACATACAATCTACTATTAAGTGCATGGGAGGTCATTCAACCTAACAAATATTTTTTAGGAAGCACTCCAGTTGAAGCTTTTCTCATTCCTTCAATTTAAGTAGTCTTCTGAGTCAATTGTAATTGGCGCTAATATATTAACGCTTAACTGTATTATATCCTTATAAGCCATACTTTGTTTATGTTCCATTTCAATTTGTAATAAATTATATTAACCTGCAAACCTATTAACAACAAATTTGCTGCCACTACCTCAATACACTAGACTAAAACAGAACAATAAAAGTATATGTAATGTACATAAAATATTTTATCTTAGTAAATATTCATTTATATAAATATAAAGTATATATGTATGTATGTGTGTGATTGAAAAACTTGCAAGGATTAGTTCGGATAAGTGAACAAACTTTAACGTTTATGTAATATTTCTCATAAGAAATAACTAACAGCAACAGCCAGCTGACTACCGCAACAGCAACAAGAAAAAAACATTCACTTCGGCTGCATCGAAGCTATAATACCCTTCACAGGTGTATCTCTTAAAACATATAAAATCATGAAAGGGTTTAAAAAGGTATTTTCCTTGATATTGTGCGGTCAGTTTTGTATTAGATGCCATACGATAGTGGTCCGATTTGACTAGTATTTTCGCGTTGCTTGGATAATAAACTTCGTGGCGGTATCTTGTCAAATAAAAAAGTTTTCCATACAAAGACTTGATTTTGATCAATTAATTTGTCTAAAAGCTATATGCTATATATGCTGATCTGAACAATTTCTTCGGAGATAGCACCATTACTATAAACAATAAAACATGCCAAATTTCGTGAAGAAATCTCGTCAAATGAAAAAGTTTTCCATATAAGCATTTGTTTTCCATCGTTCAGTTTGACAGCTATATGCTATAGTGGTCCGATGTCGCTGTTTCCCACAAATGAACAGCTTCTTAAGGAGAAAAGAGCATGTGCAGAATTTCAGATCGATATCTCAAAAAGCGAGCAGATTATTTATGTATACTTAATAGGGTTTCCTTCCGGTTGTTACCCAGAATGGCATATTAAATATACTAGATATGCACGGTATCGAAAATAATATTGAATACTGCTTACAAAGCAAATACATAAATGCATATACACGTGTAAATATTTTGAGCTTTCTTGCATTATTTCCATATTTTTATTTGCCTTGGATTTTGCACGCACCGAAAACTTTCGTCAGCAGCAAACAAATGCTCAGTGTGACAGCTGGTTAGCTGAACAAATACAAACAAATGGATTGATGTGTACAGTTATACGTGACAAGCGAATTGCTTGACATATGTAAATGTCATTGTACATAATAATTCGCCAGTTCCACCAGCACCATATAATGTTATTTTTTTTTATGCTTTTTTCTATGTTCGTGTGCATTTTATTTGCGTGTATAAATTATGTTTTTATGCAGAGTTATATATTCAGAGCCAAAGCATAGCGACTCGATCTCGTGTTCAACGACCATACCCAACTAATAAGACATTGTGCCATTTTTGGCTAATGCAAACTTCCGGCCGAACTGAGGACGAGTCCTTTGAATCTACGGCTAACTTTGCTTATAAAAACTTTAACGGTATTTAATGTTGATTGCTTGTGCATGTGGGTGACTAGGCTGGCGTCCGTGCGAGAAATTTTTAAATAAATTTTAAATTTAAAATCTATATAACGGTGCATGTTTGTATATTCTTTTCAAGTCCACTCCCAGAAGTTTTTTGTTATATTATATAAAAAGATAATACCAAGATTCAATATGAATTTGTCGCTCTAATATCATACGATTTCTTACAGTTGTAAAGCAAAGAGACTTCGTGTTAAGTCGATGTTTAATATTTTTTTATCTTTTTAAGCTCTACTAGCTTCCACAGTAAGAAGAATTAATATCGATAATCATGTTCGAAAAAAATCTTTCAACCGGAATTAAGTCTGAACAAAATGCTATCTGATCAAATTTGACCCGGACTGACAAAAAAGCCACATTTCCCCTTCAAAATAGGCTCCTGAGCTATTTTCCATACATTTACTATAAACCTCGGCTGTGAAGGTCTTCAGCATGTTTCGATTTTTCGGTTTCGTCTTATTTTTGTGTGGGAGATAATTATGCTGATCTTTTTCAGAGCAATTTGAAGCTAGACCCAAGTGATATGTGCGATAACTTAGAGTTTGCAACTCCAAAAAGTTCATTTTTTACGACACGCTTTGAAATGAGTTATAAAATGTCGGCTTCACCCACTAACTTTGCACTTGTAAAGTTAATTGCTACACAAAATCGTCGTTTTAGCACCAGCATGAAATTTCGTATATCTCTTTCAGCTCTAGCTATTCTGTGGGTATCAGCACTAGTAAACACTTTTCCCATAAATTTCTTGTAGGGCAGGTTAGTAGTTATTAAAGCTGCTTCGCGAGCACATCCTTTCGGCAGCAACTAGCATGAAGTTTCGTTGTTGGTGTGTGTACTTTTTGTGGACTTTTGCAAACTTGACTCAAATGTATGCCACCAAAAAGTAGTCAACGTTCGTTTAGCCTAAAATTGGTTGCATTCGTGACACAGCCGACTGGCGGGGCAGTCAGAGTCATTGAGGCAGGACCAAACCAAAAAATTGACAAGTACTTTATAAACGCCGTTTTCCAAAATTGTGTTTAGGAAACCGAAACAAAAGCTCTGCTCGTAAAATTTTTACATTTGTAATGTCTATGTAAATCATTTATCAAAAGTGATGTGTTGAAAGTAAACGAAAATTTTCAATTCAAAATTACAAATTACTACTATTTTGTCTCTTTGTCGTTGCAAATTCAAAATTTCGCATTAGCAAAACATCTGGCAAAATTTTGAGCACTCGAGTAAAGGAAACGCATAATAGGTACTCGGGAATTCGTTCTATAAAAATTTAATTTAATAAATGTGTTTGAAAAGTTGAACAAAAAATAAAAACTAAATTAAGCAAATCCGCTGTTTGAACTGAAGTCTCCACGAGCGTACACGAAAACTAAAAAAAATGTTACACAACCCAAGATCTGTGCCCCCAAAAACCCTCAGCATGCCAGTGAACTTGAAGAAGCGCAGCAAGAAACGCATGAAGAAGATCATTTCACATGTGAAGTTTCAGAAATTGATTGTGCCCCGGCCGGATGTGCTGCACGGCTACCTGCGGCACGAGGAGATCAATCGCTATTTGGAATACCTGAAGAATCGTTACAGTTTCGTGCAACTTCATCTGCTCGGCCTAACGCACGAGCGTCGTCAATTGAAGGCAATCGAAATCGATTGGAATAGCGTGCAGAATTTGGAGGCTGTCGAACGTGAACGTACGCGTCGCATGCTTTACGATAAATCCACAGTCACGCCACCGCCACAAAATGTGAACAGCGGCATACAGTCTCGCAATACGATCTTCATAGAGGCCGGCACGCATGCGCGCGAATGGATTAGCGTAGCGGTGGCCTTGAATTGCATCTATCAGCTGACGGAGAAACATTTGCGCAATTATGAGTTGTTGCGCAAGTTGCGCTTTATCATTGTGCCCGTCACGAATCCCGACGGTTATGAATATACGTTCGTGAAAAATCGTCGTTGGCGCAAGAATCGTCGACCCATTCGTCATAGCCGCCACATTGGTACCGATTGTAATCGCAATTATGACTTTCACTGGGAAGATGGATCCTCGAAAAGTGGTCGCAATACATTTAAAGGTCTGAAACCGTTCTCCGAACCGGAGACACGCGCCATGCGAAACATGCTGTGCAAACAAAAGGAGAACTTGTTATTCTTTCTGTCGCTGCACTCGTATGCGGAGAGCATTATGTACCCCTGGGGATATAGCAAGTGAGTTACAATGTGATTGAGGGCAAACTAAAGATTTAGTCTAATCTCCAAATGCTCGAATTAATTTATGGCGAGCCGAGTCGAACAGAAATGGCTGTTCGTCTGTCTGTATATACGCGAAATAATCCCTCATTTTTGAGATATCGATCTAAAATTTTGCACACGCCTTTTTCTCCCCAAGAAGGTGCTCTTTTGTCGGAACCACCGATACCAAACCACTATAGCATATAGCTGCCATACAAACTGAACAATCAAAATGAAGCTCTTGTATGAAAAACTTGTTTACTTGAGAAGATATGTTAACGAAATTTGGCATGGATTATTATCCAAAGCAATAGTACAATCTCTGAAGAAACTGTTCAGATCGAACCACTATAGCATATAGCTGCCATACAAACCGAACGAACGGAATCAAGTCCTTGTATGAAAAACTCTTTTACTTGTCAAGGTTTCTTCACGAAATTTGGCATAGGTTATTGTCTATGGCAATGGTGCTATCTCCGAATATATTGGTCGGATCGGACCAATATAGCATATAGCTGTCATACAAAATGACCGATTAAAAGCAAGTTCTTTGCTTGGAAACTTTTGTGAATTATAGCTACATAGCGACGAAGTTAACGTTTTTCTTGATATATATTTTTTTTTGTTTAAATTTTAAACAACTGGATACCGTTTTAAAACATTTAAAAATATAGTATATTTTTTATTAAGTTATGGAGAATTGCAGGCGACTTTGTATAATCAATGATATATATTATTTTCGGAAAGAACAATTAAAATTTACTTCAATACCCCCTATTGCAGAGACCTGCCGGATACTTGGCAAAAATTGGAAAAACTAGCGCTAGCCGGTCGCAATGCCATAAAAGCCTACAATGGCAGAAGTTATCGCGTCGGAAGCATAGCAAAGTTTGTTCTTCAAAAATAGAAATTTCAAAAATGTGTAATAAATGTTTGCGCTATCCTTAGATTAACGAAACGACGCATATCCGGCTCGATTGTGGACTACGTTTTCGGCGTAATAAACGTGCCTTTGGCGTTGGTTATGGAATTGCCATCGCAATCTTTGGGCTTTCAGCCACCAGTGGAATCAATTAGCCCGATTGGGCATGAGAGTTGGTTCGGCATACGAGAGATGTGCAAAATGGCGTATGACATAGAGCCACCCTATTTGAAAATTGAAGAGACGCTATTGACTAAAGCGCTGACTAACGCCAGACAGCCACTACATGAAGCCGGCGCAGCATTGAATAAGCAACCGCTCTACAGAGCACTGATGCCCACCATCAAAACTGAGCAAGTGCTAAAGAACACACAAGTGCCTGTAAAGGGTTGAATACATCATATGTATATAATATATATATATATATATCATATTTCCATATTTCTGTTTAAATTTGTAATGCATTTTCGTCCATATAAAAAATAAAAGCATATTCTCGCATTTCAAATACTCAAATCTCTTTATTTGTTAACTAATACCCATAAGTAACTAATATACTACACATGCATACATATTTACATATATAAGGATGTTTGTTATTTCACAAGTTGATTTTTGCACCAGGGTATATTATATCTGCCACATAAAATGTATTATATATGTATAATGGTCAGCATGACTTAGCCATGTCCATACGCCCGTCTATCCGTCCACCTGTCTGCATATACCAATTAGTCCCACAGTTTTTGAGATATCGCTCTAAAACGGTCTGAATGACTTTATCTATAAAAACATTGCTTTAAAAGTTATATGCAGTCAAAGTTATACCCCTGATGCGCTGAGCATTCATACAAGTGCCTTACAAATTCTGTGTTGCTCATACGACATGGTGTACTGAAACTTCAGCGTAATCAACTTGAGAAATAACGGACATCCTAATATATATGTACGCCATATATATGTTCAATATTAGTGAAATTTCTATTATATTATATAAATTGTGCTCATTAAACCGTTGTGTGGGAAAACTTTTGAAAATCTCTTCTGCTGCTGACTGCTTTACAAAAATATACACATTTTTGATTTGCCTACAGAATGAATACAGGTTTTTGTTGTTGTCGATATTGTCGCACATTTTTGGAAACTGAAAAATTGTCAATTTCGAAACGCGCACATTTCTTTTTATTTATAAAGTATACTTAATGGTTCAATGCTTGAAGAATATAACGAAAATAAATCCATTAAATAGTGAAAATAAGAGCAAAGTAAAAATTTCAAAATTACAAGTACAATGAAGGGACTTGAGATACTGTTGTACATAGGGTGGTGTTTTAATCAGATATATGCCAAAGTTATTGGATTCGTTTGTTGTATTAAAAACACATATGTATATATAATCGGTGAAATATAGCGCTACAACTTTCACCGTTCTATCGTTAGTTGTAACGTACTATTTTAGATTTATAACTACTTGTAGTATATTTTATTCAGCATTCTCGTCTGTGGTTGTTGTGGGGCTTCTTGGCGCGGCATATTTCAAACGCAATTTCTCGTATGTTTTACGATCCTAGAACAATAATAAAATAATAAATGTATTAATATATAAATTACAGCCTATTTTCAAGCGCTTATAAAAATTTAGTAGTAACTCACCTGCGCACTAACTGAAGGTCGTATGAGTTTTATGGCGTGCTCGAAATGCGATTTACGCACACGCAGATCCATCGAGTCCGGGTTGTGTATGGACTCTTTCAATGCCAACATGGCGGATTGCCGCACCAGACCAGCCAAGTCCGCGCCGGTATAGCCGTCCGTGCACTCCGCGATGGCTGTGAAGTCGACATCGTCCGCCAATTCGGGTCTAGTGCGTTGCTGTGCGGGATAAAAAACCAAAGGAAAAACAAATTATATATAAAAACAAATTATATATAAAAACAAATTATATATAAAAACAAATTA